TCGTGGGAGGGCAGAGGATCTGTGGTTTCTGCAGACACGTGGGAAGAGATGGTGGGAACAGGGTCTTGTTAGTGGGGGAAAGAAGTCAGAGGGACAGTTTTGGGTGCTCTAATGGGAGGAGCAAACTTTGGAGGGCTTGTTGAACTGATTGGGGATGATTTTTTGTGCCATTTTGATGTGAAGCTCATGTTCCTCCCGTGGGAATGGCTGATACCCCTCATGTTTCAGCTCTGCAGCCCACCCAGCAGGAACCAGGGATACAGGCTTTCCTCCAGCCTGGAAAAACAATGAGGGAAGGGTTACCCTTACCTTGCCAGTGCATCGGGTCCTTTGTGCCATCTATTCTTTCCAGGCAAAAGGCTCACTAAGGAGAACATGAAACTTGGATCTTCCATCTGATTCTGACTCCTGCATCTGCACACAGGGGGGGAGGAGGGCTTGAAACCACGGTGTTCCATGGATAATTCCGTGCTGTTATACACTCAGTATGTCTCATCCTTCTGCCTTGCATGGCACAAACATTCATTTTTGTGTTCTGCATCTCCCTAATGTGATATAAAAAGCTAAATGCATTACCAACTGCAGTACAGCACATGATTATTTTTTCCCCCCTTGCTTATTCTGCAGCGAGCAATTTTTTGTGCCATTAATAAGTCTTGCTCTGCTCCAAATGATCCTTCTTGCTCTGTTCCAAATGATCCTGCTTGCTCTGCTCCAAATGATCTTCATTCTGGGAGGATTTCCTGGGGAGCCTGGAGCCAGTTGCGTGCTCTTCACAAGAGCTACTTCTCAGTGCTTCTCACTGAGAAGGTACCAAAGGAAAAGCTTCAAGTTAATCCAGTTTAGACGTGGATTTGACTTCCAGCACTCGGGAATCAATGGGGTTTAAATGACAGCACTCACTGCAATAGTGCTCAGCCCTGGATATCTCCATCCCTTCAGTGGGCAGGAACAGATGGGTTTCAGCTCCCAGTTTTAGAGGCTCCAGAAAGGACCAAAATAAGGAGGAACATCCAGTGTCACGCAAAATAGGGCTTATTTTCACAGAGAAATCAGGCTGAAGTGCCCCCCAGATGTTGCCCCTTCCTGCTCCTTGGTCTTGGTGAGGCTGCTTTGACACAGCAGTTTCAGCCTCATCCCCACCCTTGGGGGCTGAATTACTTTCCAGCTGCCCCACATAAACCTGGAGGGCACCGTGGCCCCAGAAGGAGTTACCAGAGGCACCTTGGGGCAAAACCCCACATGGGCCCTCCGTGATCCTCGTGGGTCCCTTCCAGCTCAGTGTTCTGTGATTCTGAAAAGGCAAAAAGAATGGCCAAGTGTGCCCTAGGGAGGAGTCAGGGGTGTTCATGTTTCAGTAGGTGGCACTCCTTCCTCTGCCTTGGGGCTGGCATGGATTTTGGGGACATGGAATAGCAGGTGGCATCCCACGGATGAGATGCTCGGGGATGGATACAACTGGAGTTGTTTACAGCGTGCTTTTTGCAAGAGTTCAGCTCCTGTACGTGCTGCTTTCCTCTACATCTTCCTGTGTTTTAGTCTTTCCTCCTTCTCACTGTAAAGGTGTTGCTGGGAATGTGTATGCAGGGAAGGCACTGGGCACCGAGCGGGGAAATCCATCGCAAAATCCAGGTGGTTCAACTCCCTGCCACAGGCTGATCTGCTGCTGCGGATATTTTGGGAAAAGAATAGAGTGGATTAGGCAGGGGAGGAAAAAAAAAAATGCTTCCAGGAGGAGGAAAGTGTTTATGTATGTGGTCAGTGATGCATCTCCAGCCTCTCCATCCACGCTGTCCTGGCTGGCCGTAGCAAGGTGACATTTGCTTGTCAGTGATCCCGCTGCCTACCTGAGCTTGGCCTCGGGAATCCAGGGAAGTGTTTGTGGAATAGAGGGTGTTCAAATGTGGTTTTAGCTCGGAAGACAGCAGCTGAGTGGGTGAGTTTGGTGACAGATGATCCCTGGAAGGTTTAGAAGCAAAAGCTATTAAAACCTCGGAGCTGTGCAGAGAGGAAATACTGGGAGTTCATCAGGGCCCCCTTGGAGAGAAGGAACATCCTTGTTCCATGTGATTCCCACCATCCAGCCCCGGAGTGCTGCCTTTTGGGGCAGAGAGGATGCTGTCTGCAGATGCTCTTTTTTTTTTTTCTGTGCTTCCTGCTTACTGGACATCCAGGCACAGAGGAGGGATCACAAAAAGCCTTTGGGATGTCTGTAGCCAAAGGCTCCCTTAACAAACAGAGCAGCTTCACCCCGTCCTCCCGAATCCAAGCCAGTTGGTGCATTCCTGCCATTCTTCTCCCTAAAGCTGTTTCTTTCCATTCCCTGGCTCAAGAAGACAAAGCAGCTGCTCTGAGAGTCTGAGATTTTTATTTATTTATTTATTTATTTATTTATTTATTTAATTTACTGGGAGCTTTAAGTTGAAAGGAATGGGATCATGGGATTTATTTTTTATTGGAGTGGGGCAGTACCCTGGGATCCCTGAGATTACACACCAGCCGGTGCCAGGATCTGCACTCGCCCCATGGTTTCTTTGGGAGAGCAGGGAATAGCCAAAAATAGGCAACTGCCAGCTGCCTTCCCGTGGCAGAACTCGGCTGTCGGGTTACAGAGCCCTTTGGGCTGCTCTGGCCACCTCCTTAAATCAGGAAAGACTGGCCTTAGACTTGATAGCTGCTGGTTACAGTCCCAAACCTAAAACTGAGCCATAAAAATCTCTCTTCAGGCCTCAAGGATCTTACTAAAATCTGCTTCCCACCTGTAAATAAATGTATTCTCTATATATACTCAGCTAAATTCCTGGATGGCTTTATTGCCCATAATTTCTCATGGTTTTCTCCAGATCCTCTCTGATCGTGGTGCTGTTGTCTCAGTCCCAGGCTGGGCACCTCTAATAGAAACCAAGTAGTGTGACTTTACTGCCTGCCACCAAGAAATTATGCACCAGTTTCCCCCCAGGGCTGGGATTCCTTTGAAGCCTGGTGGGCTTCAGTTAACTGTATCTCTGTCTCCCTCATCCAGACATCGGTATCACTTCTGCAGGGAGGAAAACAATAAAACTTAAAGCATGTTGGCTGAATGCTATTAAAATATTTTATTTATCACTGATTCCTAGTTTGTAGGCAGCGGGAATGCATCTATTTAATGCTGGTTTTCTTTAAAATGGAAATGTTCAGAGGATATTTGGTACTTTTGCTCCTGGCGAGTTGTGTGAGGCCGGAATGGAGGGAACAGGCAGTAAAAAATGCTGTCTGAACTTTAAATCTGGGAAAACAACTGGGGGACTTTGCTTTGTGCCTGGCACACATGTATCGAGGGGACTGAAAACTGAGGCTTTTTGCATAACTCATTTCCCCCCCCCCCCCCTTTTCACGTGCATCTGGAAAAATGCAGGAGGGGTCAAGTACATGAAGATCCTACAAAGCCTCACATCTGTGAACAGAGGCCAGGCCCTTTCCAAGACCAGGATGGAGCAGGAAGCAGTTGTAACTCCTTTTTTTTTTTTTTTTTTAATTTATTTTATAAAGACCATCTGCAGGTTGAAAGCTGGAGCTTTGGACTCAGGCAAGCGTCAGTATGTAACAGTAAAAAAAAAAAAAAAATAAACGGGAAATCCTAAAAGAGCTCAATCCCATAAACAGGGTCTGGATGTCTGGCATTCCCAGCTAATGCCCGCAGGGGAGGTCTAGGTACAAACATGTAGCTACCACCCACCCCCCAAAAAAACGTATCCCTGGCTGCATCCTCCTTCTCCCCAAATCCAGCTCCCCAAGAAGGAACAGAAGCAGCTGTTTGTGCTGCCCTGGAAACATCTGAGCACCAAGCTGTGCCGGCGCCCCGGATGCTCTTGAGGGATGTCAGTGCCCAGCTGGGCTGTGGGAGCTTTTATCGCCGAGTCCTCCAGACTGGACGGTCTTATCGGGAAGCCCCAAGCCAGCCCGCACACCCCTCTTTCTTTCCTCGGGGGGCCAGTCCTGGAAGTCGCGCTGTCGCGACGTGCATCCCTTGGCAAACGCGGGCACGAGGGAAGGAACCAGAACCATTTGGCACCGAGGGCTCGGCCGATGCGGCTCATCTAAATCTGTTATTTTTTGTGCTGCAGCCCCGCGTGTAGCGGCACACAGGGAATCCGAGTGCACGAGGGAAAATCCCGCACGCCGGGAAAATCCGATCGCGTTTGGTACGGCAGAAACCGGCGTGTGCTTTCACGTGGGGATTTGGGCTACACGGAAAATTCCCAGATTTTAAGTTACGGGGTTTTTTTTTAGTGCTCAGAAACCCATCTGCCCTGCCTCCAGGCTTTTCCAGTGCAGACATACTTGACCGATATTCACAAGGAAATCTGGGTTTTTGGAGCCCGAAGCTTGCTGAGACTGAGGAGGAGCCATGCCAGCCGCCGGCTTGTGCTTCCACTCCGAGCAGGCGACAAAAAAACGGGCTATTTAAAAACAAAGTAAAGGGGAGATAAGCCGGGCGAGTTCCTCAGGGAAAAGCGGCACCTTGAGCGGAGCAGAGGATGGAGGGAGGGCACATGGGACGGGAGGGCAGGACCGCGCAGCTCGGACCCGAAGGCCTCCTCCCGCGGGAGGACGGGCGGGGAGCCGCTCCCGGCCGGCCCCCTCCCTCCATTCCTCCATCCCTCCATCCCTCCTCCCTGCCCGCAGCCCCCGCCGGGCCACCCCGCGGGGCGTGGGCGGCGCGGGGAGCGGCGGGGCCGGGCGGGAGCGAGCGGGGAGAGCATGTGCATCCTCCCCGCCGCCCCTGCCTCCCTCCCGCCTCCCCTCCCTCCCTCCCTCCTTCCCGCCGCGGGTGTGTGTGTGTGTGTGTGTGTGTCTCGGCTCCCTCGCCAGCCCAGCCTGACGCAGGCGGATCGCGATCGCCCCTGACAACAGCCCGGCTCCCAGCGCCGTGCCGGGGGTCCGGCTGCGGCGGGGCCCCGCCGGGCCGGGCCGAGGGGGCGGCGGGGGCCGAGTTGGCCCGAGCGCGGCAGGGCGGCCCGGGGAGGGGGAAAGTTGCCGGGAGCGGCGAGGGGCGAGCGCGGCGGCAGGACCATGGGCACTTTGCGGGATTTACAGTACGCGCTGCAGGAGAAGATCGAGGAGCTGCGGCAGCGGGATGCGCTCATCGACGAGCTGGAGCTGGAGTTGGACCAGAAGGACGAACTGATCCAGAAGCTGCAGAACGAGCTGGACAAGTACCGCTCGGTGATCCGGCCCGCCACGCAGCAGGCGCAGCAGCAGAGCGCCGGCACCTTGCAGGGCGAGCAGCGGACCAAGCGCCAGGCGATCTCGGCCGAGCCCACCGCCTTCGACATCCAGGATCTGAGCCACGTCACCCTCCCCTTCTACCCCAAGAGCCCGCAGTAAGCAGGGGGTCACCCCGCGGTCACCCTCAGCCCCCCGCCACCCCTCTCCGCTCTCTGTCGCCTCTCTTCCTCCGTTCCCCTCCATCCGCTGCCATCCCCCGGCCGCGCCGCCGCTCTCTGGGCAGGGACCGGGGCGGGGGCAGGGGGGGGGTGCGGAGCTGCCCCGCATCCCGCATCCTCCCCGGGTGGTCCGGCGGGGTGGGAAAGTTGCGAGCGCCAGGTTTGCGGGGAGATGTGCGGCAGGAGCGAGCGCCGAGGTGCGAGGAGAGGGGGACCCTCGTCCCCCGTCTCGGCTCCGGGGGACCCGGCCGCCCCCATCCCGCCGGCGAAGCGGGACACGGCGGCGGGCGCTGGGAGTTGCTGCTGCCGGAGGGTTGGATCGGAGCGGATCGCGGGCTCGGGGGGCTTTAACGATGCGGGAGGGGACGGGACAAACCCGGGGGGTCGCTCCGGGGTCCCGCAGGGAGACAGTTCCAGCGGGGAAACTGAGAGCCCGTCGGGATGCGGTGCCGGCTCTCCGGTAGCCTCTCCTGCCCAGGAGGTGCTGGTGTTTTGGGGAGGGGGGTTTGGCAGTGGCAGTGGCTCGTTGCGATGTCCTGCTCCGGGGGGGGGGGGGGGGGGGGGGGGGGGGGAGGGCAGGGAAAGTTGCGGGGATCCTCTGCTCCCGGCGCGCCGGGGGATGCGCTGCCCTGGTTTCACACCTGCCCCGGTTTCACACCTGCCGCAGATTAGGGAAATTAGAGCGATTTAATAGAGAAACGGAGCCCTCGCGGGAGCGGCATCGCTCCCTGCGTGTAGTGCCTTTTGCTGGCCGATAAATCGCCCTGCCTTCGGTTCAGCGCTCCTCGAGGGATGAGAAAAGAGGACAGAGGTGACGAGCGGGTGCTCGCAGCGCCGGGGCTCCATGTGCGGGCACGGCACGACCTCCCCGTCGGTGGGCAAACCGCCCTCCCGTCTGCGACCGGGATCTTCCTCGTGGAATTGTTAACCGGGAACGCTGGAGGATCCCTGGAGCCATCCCGGCAGTCGGGTGCGTGTGTGCTGGGTGTGCTCGGGGACGGGGTTGCGGGCACATGGCTGCGCTCGGGGCACGGGTCGGCCGCACCCTCCAGACCCCGCGCGGGGACGGGACGGTGTCCGATGCTCCCGCTGCCCTGGCTGGGGATGGCGGGGCACAGGGACGGTGTCCCGGGCGGAGATGGTGCTGCCCTGAGCGGGGATGGAGAGGCAGGGACGGTGTCCCAGTGTTGCCCCGGTTGGGATGGCGGTGCAGGGACAGTGCCCCGGTGGGGGATGGCGGGGCAGAGACGGTGCCCCGGTGTTGCCCCGGTTGGGATGGCGGCTCGGGGCCGGTGTCCCGGTGTTGCCCCGGTTGGGATGGCGGCTCGGGGCCGGTGTCCCGGTGTTTCCCGGGTTGGGGATGGCGGGGCAGAGACGGTGCCCCGGTGTTGCCCGGGTTGGGGATGGCGGGGCAGGGACGGTGTCCCGGTGTTGCCCGGGTTGGGGATGGCGGGGCAGGGACGGTGTCCCGGTGTTGCCCGGGTTAGGGATGGCGGCTCGGGGACAGTGTCCCGGTGCTGCCCCGGTTGGGATGGCGGCTCGGGGCCGGTGTCCCAGTGTTGCCCCGGTTGGGATGGCGGGGCAGGGACGGTGTCCCGGTGTTGCCCCGGTTGGGATGGCGGGGCAGGGACGGTGTCCCGGTGTTGCCCGGGTTGGGGATGGCGGCGCAGGGACGGCGTCCTGGTGCTGCCCTGAGCGGGGATGGCGGCGCAGGGCCGGTGTCCCGGGCGGGTGCCCGCTCGCCCCTCTGCCTGGCCCTGCCCGCCGCCATGGCGGGGCCCCGCCGTCTCCTGGCAACTGCCCGCCCTCAGGGCGGCCGCCATGGCCGGACCCGGGGCCGGGCTGTGTGTGCCGGGGCGGCGGCTGCCGCTCTGTCCCCCTCTCGTTCCCATTCCCCCTTGTCATTCTCGCTTCCCATCACTCCCGCTCCCCCCCCAGTTCCTATTCCCACCCTCCCCGTTCCCATTCCCGCCGCCGTTTCTCCACAGATATTTTGCCCTTTTAAGGCGACTCGCCGCGGATTCAAAAGGATGTCGGGGGGAAGCGGCAGTGGGCTGAACAATAGTCCCTCTGCCAGACCCCAAAAACCAAATAAACCGCCCCAAAAGTGGACGCCGGGTTCTGTCGGGCGAGGGGGGCACAGGGGTGTCCGAGGCCAGGCGGGCGGGAGGTCTTTGCAATCCGTGGTGTGCCTGGAAAACATCCAGGGCATCCCACCGGCGTTACCTTCCTCTAGGACAGTGTATCACATCCAAAACCATTTATTTCTCTGTCAGTGTTTGCCCCTTGGTGCCCTCGGAGTGGGAATGCAGCTCCCCAGAGCTCCGGAAAGAGCCACAGGTTTCAGGAGAACCATCTCAGAGCCTCTGCTTGTGTACAGTGAAACATGTAGGGATCCCGACAAAGGCTTGGATTAACGTTTTCCGACTTGAATTGTAATTGCTCCTTGTGTAAAGGCCTTACTGCAGTCTGGTGTGGAGTGTAACAGCACTCACCTGAGGGAGTGCTTCATATTGACCTTCCCTGGTCAATGCTCTTAATACTATTTATGGTATTTAAATCAACTTGCAGCTGCAGCTCGTAATCACTCAGGTGTGGGCATTTAAGGCTGGATTGGACATCGTAATCACTCAGGTGTGGGCATTTAGGCTGGGTTGGACATCATAATCACTCAGGTGTGGGCATTTAGGCTGAGTTGGACATCCTAATCACTCAGGTGTGGTTGTTTAAAGCCAGGTTGGACAGGGCTGGGAGCATCCTCATCTAGTGGAAGGTGTTCCTCCACACGGTGGTGGAACAAGATGATCTTTAAGGTCCCTTCCAACCCAAACCATGCTGTGATTCCACAAAAAGGTATTTGTTAATGGCTTCGGGAGCGTGTGTGGCTCTGGGAAGGGTTCACTGTGTACAGTGATACCTCAAAGCCTGGTGTTCAACACAACTCTTTGTGGTGGTACCGGGGTTAAGGTGGAGAGGGGCTGGAAGCAGAACTATCAAAACATGCAAAGAAGGCTTGGCTTTTTTCCCCCCTGTTCGTGCTGAACCTCAGTGATTCTTGAGGTGGGCTTGGCAGTGCTGAGTTAATGGCTGGACTTGATGATCTTAAAGGGCTTTTCCAACAAAAGTGATTCTATAGTAGCCTGTGGGGTTTTTCTGCAGTTAGGTGGTGACCAACTCCAGTACCTGAAGGGAGCCTACAAGAAAGATGGAGAGAGACTGTTTACAATGGCCTGGAGTGCCAGGACAAGAGGGAATGATTTCCTACTGTCAGAGGGAAGGGTTAGATGGGAAGAAATTCCTGTGAGGGTGGGGAGGCCCTGGCCCAGGTTGCCCAGAGAAGCTGTGGCTTACCCTGGATCCCTGGAAGTGTCCAAGGCCAGGCTGGATGGGGCTTGGAGCAACCTGGGCTAGTGGAAGGTGTCCCTGCCCATGGCACAGGTGAAACAAGATGTTCCTTAAGGTCCCTTCCAACCTAAATCATTCTGTGATTCAATGAGTGGCATTCAAAGTGTAAAAAAAGTAAATTTAATTGCCTTGTGTGAAAAAATACCATTAAATGTCCTGCATCATCTCACCTTGCACATAAACCCCTCCACTTAAGACAAATATAGTCTTTAAAAGTGACTGTTTCAGACCTGTGAGAGCTTTAGTTGCTGTTGCAGGGTTGGGCTTGTGTTGCCTCTAAAACTTACTTAAAAGTGAAACGGGACTTTGTGGGTTCACAAAAGGAGATTATAGCTAAAATCCATTGAGGGACATATCCTGCCATTATTTTCCAAGTTACAAGGCTGGTGAGAGAAGTCAGGCATTGGCATCTTGATCAGTCTTCCTGTTCAAGTAACTATAATTTTTTTAAAATAAGTGGCTTTTTCTCTTCCCCCCCCCCCCAAAAAAAAAAAGGAAATAACTTGCAAGAAGCGACTGAGTAAGTGGGTGCAGACCGTGTGTGGTTTCCCGTGGTAGAAAAATGCCGTGACAAACCCTTATCTCCTCTTCATCTTCTAAAATTGCTGCTCTTGTTTGTTTTTCCACACCTTTGACCTCTCACAGGGTATATCCTGGCTGCTAACAGCCTGTCAGCACGGGAAGAATTCTGTGAGTTTGTACCAACTGCTATTCCAATTAAAATTTTACAGAGCAGCCAACCAAAGTAAAGCCCTTTTAACTACCAAGCTGCAGCTCATGCCTTTGGTTACGTCGCCCTTGCCATGGGAAAATACCCAGGACGTTGATTTTTAACAGGCTATTTTGTTCAGGGATGGGTGACAGCTGTTGGCTTTTTTGGAAGGCTGTGTAATCAGTGCGTTTGCTCTGTGTTCTGCTTCCAAATTCTTTTTTTCCTTTTTGGAGAAGCAAAGTTGGAGAGATGGTGAGCGTGAAGGGCCTGATCTCTTGGCCGAGGTGGTGGGACAGAGAAAATGCAAAAAGCTGTGTTGTTTGTAGGGAATGGTGAATAAGATGGAAACTCACTTGTTTTTGGGAGTTAAAATGTAAATCTGGGGAATCTTTCCAAGTCTCAGGGATTGGTTTGTGAGGGGAGGAGCAGCCTGTGAGTTGTATTTAAGAGGTCTGATTTGAGCAGTGTAAAATACTTGGTTGCATAGCCTTAGGGAAAGTACAACAGACATACAAGGGATTTAACAAAATCCCTGTAATGGCCAAATTGGTTCTTTGAAGGCGAATGTGCACATCTTCTGTGGGCCAGAGGCATATTTTTAAGTGATCATAATAGTCATAAACCACCCAGAAATACTTGAAAACCACTTTATATTTAGAGTAATTGCACAAAATGATCTGCTGGTATTTATTAATGGTATGTATTAGCTGAGGTAATAATTAAGACTCTCAAACTATAGTTCTGAAGAAACCCCCAAAACAACCAAACCCCTCTTTTCTTAAACCCCACGCCCTCCTCTTCCTAAAATAATTCGGAGGAT